TACTTTTGGATGTGTTATGGTGTAAGAAGCAGAGAAATGATCCTTACAATAATTTAAATGCTAAATGGATATTATCGCCTCTATAGAAATAACATTTTACTTCAAACAACGATTGAAGATACATGCCTTGCTTCAACGCCTCAAACTCTTGAAATGATGGCTTTCTCATTAAATACTAATAGTGAAAACTATTAATTCAAAAACATCTTCTGCAATGCCGTCCTTGCTACAAGGCATTCAATCAAAATTGTCCTTTAGTGACAAATTTATCTTAGGATGGGAGGATATGAAAGCAGTTTATGCTATGGCCTGGATTCATGAAAAGGAATGAAATTGAAAGAGAACATTGTAATTGACATTTTTGAAAATCAGCTGTGTAACTTATCCTCGGGCTAAACATTTTAATCTAAAGAGGACTTGCTGAACCTTATATTAAAGTAAACCTCACTTAAAAATAGCATAAATGGGGGGGGGGAGACTTGTAGCTTTTATACAGCAAAACAGATAGTTATTACATGGAAACATTAATCAAAAGTACTACTTCGTTTATACAAATATAATTGTCAATGTTTCTTGCATGCTTCTTCTTGCAGCATCTGAGACAAGGCCCTCAAATAGTATCAACTTTTTAAAAAAAACATCAGAAAAGAAAATAGGGGAGGGGATGGGGGCTTTTATGTCCAAGAGTCACAGAATTGTCAACACTTCAAAGCACACCTTTTATCATAGACACCTATACTGTAAAGACGTGCACTTGTTCTAAAAGTATTAAGAAATGTATATTTTTCCTTCAATAAAATAGTGTCAAAAGTGCATTCTAAAAGGGGAAATTGGTTGTTTTGTACTTGCCTTTGCTTGCACAAAGTGCATTGACTTAATGTCCTTTTGATCTTACAGCAATACAGTTTACACTGTACAGTTTGACATTGCCTAATTGATTATGGGATTTGCATGCAAACCACCTGTACACATACTTGTCCTGTTTTAACTAAAATGCATTCACCCCTTCTGCTCGCTACACCTTCAGCAGAAGGTTCATTCACAAAGACAGAAAAAGAAATTAAGGTTCAAAAGTAAAATCATACTTTGGGGCACCGTTCACACATTGGATGTGTAACACTGATTTGCTTTTCTTTTACATATCATGATCATAAACAGGTAATTCCTTACTGTGGGCCTGATGTATCTCTATAGAGATAGGAGGGGGACATCTGAGAGAGATAGACTGTGGAAGGGAGGGAGAGGGGAGAGAGAGAAAGAGAGAGAGAGAGAGAGAGAGAGGGAGAGAGAGAGGGAGGGAGGGAGGGAGAGAGAGAGGGAGGGAGGGAGAGGGAGGGAGGGAGGGAGGGAGGGAGGGAGGGAGGGAGGGAGGGAGAGAGAAAGAAAGAGATAGATAGATAGAAACCGAGAAGAAATAGATAGAGAGAAAGAGAAGGGGATGGAGGGAGAGAGAGAAAGAGATAGAAATAAATACAGAGAGATAGAGAGATGGAGAGAGAGAGAGAGAGAGAGAGAGAGAGAGAGAGAGAGAGAGGGGGGGGGGGGTGGGGTAGAAAGAGAGAGCTTGTCTACTCACTGTAGACTGCACTTCTATGGATAGGGAGGGGGACCACCTTATCTAAATCTGACCTCACCCCTTCTACATCCCTCCTCTTTCTTCTTCTTCTTCTCCCCCCCCCCCCACCCATTTCACTTTTCTCTTTTTCTTCCCCTTCACATCCCCCAAAATACATACAATATTGCAAACCCATTCACTGTAAGAAGAAAATTGATTTGTTTTCAGCAAACTTGTAACCCTTCATTCACACTAGAATGGCTCGGCATCTCGCTCTCCCTCTCAACCATGCACGATGGACAATCAAAAAGATAAAAAAGAAAAAGAAATTCCCCCGCTGCTCGGCATCAGCCAAAGACCGATGAAGGGTGAGAACAGGGAAAGGAAAAGAATACTGAATAATAACCGGGGTCTCATGAAAATCATTTTAGCTATTTATTCAGGAGGTGGGCATGATTAACACAAAGATGCATGGCTGGAATAATTCTGTTATCCATCTTGTTCCTCCGCCCTTCATCCATTCCAGAGGCACACGTCCACGCGCCTCCGGGCACTGCAGGAAGGGCATTACGTTCAGGCGATATACTTCCGAGAAATTCCACGTTTCTAAGGCAAAAATTCACAAGAAATGTCCCCTTCCACAATATCAACACACAAATGTGATCTAGTTTTGTCTTCTTTAAATCAATTATGATTGATCATCTCTGACTGCATTGTTTTTGACAAACCAGTTAGAAGATATCCTTAACAGCAGAATGTGAACAAACCCAACCTAAACAATATTTTCATAATTAATATAGCGATTTATTGAAGCAATACAAGGTGATGATGGATAAGCTGATGGTAATTATTGTAAAAACAGGCTGAGGATGACATATGTAAACAGTGACCAGTAGATACATTGATGCTATGTCAGGAATGCTATGTTAGGGAGGCTATGTCAGTGATGCTGGTAGCTAGTTGGCTTGCTAAAGTCAGGATACTTCAAGGTATTTTTGAAAATCAAAGAAAGACAAGAGTGGTTGAATTAGGCCTTAATATAACTTAATATGCTTAAAAAGGAAATGACCGGTTAGTATTTGTATGACTTTACCTTTTGATGTAGTTTTTATACGAGGATGAATAAAAAAATGAATTAAATTGAATAGAGTTTGAACATAAAACTACAATGTAGGGAATACAAAGGAGAGTTTGCCTGATTTATAGAACTCAGTTCTTAGAGTGCACTTTGCTCTTGAGGGGAAGAGAAAACCCTGAAATGAAACTAATCTTTTATAAATGTCAATTTTAGTTCATTTCACCAAATATTTCTTTTTATTCAATATAATATCTATTTTCCAAACACCCTCAATTGGAGGAAATTTAATCTTGATAGCAAACTTCTCTAGAAGAGAGCAGAAAAGGCAGAGAAGCAGATTGGTGCAAATTTGAATGAAATTGGACAAAAAAGGAGAAAGTTATGATTTTTTTAAAAGTTGTAATCACTTTGGGCATGGGCTCGTCAAATTGGGTGAATTGGTAATGTTTATGTGATATAGTGGCGGGCAATTCTTCCATTGGTTCGAATGCACAAAATGAAAATTTTAATTTACAAAAATACATGACTCAGGAGGGTCTTTTCTCTTTAGATGACCCACAGTAAATATGCTATCAATGAAATATTTTGAGTAGTGCCCCAAGGGGAGAAGGCACTTAGTAGAAAAACAGAAATTAATGATGTTTTTATATGCTATACTACAAACGAGTAAGTTGTCCATGTAATAGTATATTTGTAAAGCGCTTAGAGACATTTGTATTAAGCGCTATATAAAAATTAAATATTATTATTATTATTATGTCACAATCAACAGACCAAATTGCCAATTTGAGCTCCGCCCTTATTTAGTGAACTCATTTTGCAAAGATTCATAAATCTCTTGTTATTGGTCCGATTTTTTTCAAACTTTTGCCATTCTGTTTATCAAAGTTTTCTGCTTTCATACAAATGAACTTACTACAAGGGGGTGAATTGCCCTTGATAGAGTAGCCTAAAGTGTCCTGACAGAGTCTGGGCACATAGCCTAGATGAAGTATGTTCCTGCTCCTACATTATGTAACCAATCAGTGGGTTGATGGTGCCATAGTCTAGGCCAAGGAGTGGATTGACAAGCTAACTCAAACTCAACACAAGAGGGCAGCAATGTACATCTGCGCTTGATCTAAGCCAGTAAAAGATACAGCTATGTATTGAAGGGAGTTACTTCATCATGATGATATAACAGAGTACTTCTACTGATGGTTTAAGTTCATTGCCATTGCTAAAAAAAGCTTCACTATGTCCATTTTGTTACTCTGTGTAGAGGTATTTGAGTGTGAAAATTCTCCATCAGCATAAAATGATTTTAAAGACTTCAAAAGGCTTTCAAACAAATTTCTCTCAATTCCATTTCAGTTTTTAGTTTTTACACACCACTCTTCGGAGAGTCAGAGACATCAACACATTATGAAAATACCGTAATTAACATTGTTCAACTTACAACAATTTATGGCCAATTGAGTGAAAAATAGTGATCAATAAAAATTGATTTAATTACAGATGCTGTCGGCAATGAAGCATACAAACACTCGCTATTAATTCACAAAGGGAAATCTTCAGCAAAAACTTCGGATAATGAAATACTTAATTAAAGAAATTTACGTAAGTTACTGAAATAGCTTAATGCCTTTAACTAATCTAATATCAATTACATCTTTTATAGCATGCAATGAGTACTTGACATATAAAATATCCTAAATCGAATTTGAATATGCATTATTTGATTATGTGCTTACACAATTTTGGATGGTTTTCATGCATTTTTGTTTAAGTTCTTTGAGGAGAGAAAGAAATAAAAGTGAAGTTGATTGGCTAATTTTTCTCGGCTGTTTCGGATCACGGTGGAATGCATCGTAAGGAAGCTGTCAATCAAAGAAGAAGTCAGTTCCAAAGCTTCACACTCGACTATACCCTACAAAAAAATATTCCATTCCATTTCTATCAAATTATCGGTTTAAATTCGCACTCCTCCGAGCTTATCGAATTATGACGCCTAAATATTCAATTGGCAAAATATCAAATTATATATGCCTAAATATCCCGGTATTGCATGTAAACTGAATCACATGCGTCGCGGACCATGTGCATGCCACGATTTACCAGGAGATGAGGAAACAGAAGCAGTTCGTGCCTGACTGCCGAAATCAAATTACGGCACGGCGTAACGCTTCTTCTGAAAGGACGAGAGAAATAAAAGGGAGCAAAATGACTTTTCTTCTGTTAGGGAGGTTTTGCAGCTAACCCGATCATACACATGGAGATACCATGAAGCTGGCTAGATTCAAACGCATACGATCGCAAGCAGAATCATTGTAGGTGCAAATTTGACTGAAGGAAATATAAAAAAAGGCCAGGATGAACTCTTCCTACCTGTGATGTCCATGCATCTTTTTCTTGTCCTTGGGTGGGTAGGCTCAAAATTTGATTATCGCCGGAGTATAACTTGATAAATGGTGCACGTGCTCGCCCCCTCCCTGCGATTGATCGGGTCTACCTGAAAATATGAATAGTTATGAAGCGGTAATAATCGTGAAGAGATCCTTCAATTGGCAATCTATCGGAAAGAGGAAATGAGTTTGTAGCGGGAGAACGTAGGGGTCAGGTGCAGATGGCTCAAATTGTCCCACTCCAGTAAACCTGCCCCCTACGCCTGATGGGACTTCATTAATGTCTTTCTGAGAATCTGGGGACAAAAATACTTCATGTCATCTTGTAATTTCTTATTTATTTAAAGAAATTTCAACACAACCGGAGATTGTCAACTTGGTTTCTTTTAATGATACATTTCTCTCCATTTTGTTTTCCCCGCAAGCTTCTTCTTGACACCATGTCTCTCTCATAGACTCTTATCGTTTCCTACTTTCCACTTAAAAAATGATATAATCTCTAGGTTACATATAAAGGGATGGTTAACTTTATAGTATATGTTGCAGAACCTATCACACAAGGGTAAAATTAATGTTTCCATGCCTAGCCTTAAAGGGAAATCCAACCTTGATAGGTAAATACTTTAGGGGAAAGTAGACAAATTAGAGAATTAGGCTGGTGAAATTTTGAATGAAATCGGACAAAAAATTAGAAAATTATGAATTTTTGAAAGTTGTAATCACTGTAAGCATAGGCTCTACAAATTGGCTAAATCAGTCATGTCTCTGTGATGCATTGGCGGACAATTTGGAAAAGTTAGGTTGCCCTTCAGGGATATGATGTATTTCCTAAATGCAAACCCGCAAAATAAAACATGAAAATCTACGATCACATTGCTTCCTCATTGTTACTGACCAAACATCCTTGACAGGGGTACAGGAAATAGAAGAAACAGTGAGAATCGGTCAACTTTAGCGAGAATCTAGTGAGCAAAGGGGAAGGAAGCGTTAATCACCGTTTACATGTGGGCGCTTCTCCCCTCTCACATGGGGGGGGGGGGGGGGGGGGGAGGGGGTACAGCCTTCATTAATGGTTTAAATAGGATGTGCTCTGGAAAATGGCAAATGAAGATGACAATGTTAACCTTGGAAGCTCTAGGGAATGATGACCCATCGACAAATTATGTGTCAAGAATCTATTGACAAACAGCAGTTTGCGATAGTGATAAAAGAAATATGATGAAGATTCTTGTTGAGTGATGAAATGGTGAGTCTTGCCTTCTCTTACTGGATAAATGGATTTCAATTATTTGAAATAAATGAAACATGTATATACAAATCACTCCAGAAAATGATCTTTAAAAAACTTTTTTTATATTTAAGTGGTGCACATTGTGCATGAACAAATACGATGACTGGGGTAATAATATCCGTAAAGCGCTTAAGAGATGGTGATTTTTATTAAGTACTACATAGATCCGGATTATTAATTCATATTATTGTTGTCATTGTTATTGTTGTTGTTGTTATTGTTGTTATTATTAATAATTATTATTTCCATTAACATTATCAATATCATCATCAATATTATTATTATTATTACTATTACTGTAAACAGGTGGTCTTTAATAAATGAGAATTTTGATGTAGATCTGGTACAAGGAAGGTCAAATCTCCAAATGTGTATTTCTAGAAATATATATCCACTAACTGTTTGTGCTCTCTGATTCTCCTAATAACAAAAAAGTACATGTTTTTTTTTATCTACATGGAAAAGTATGATCAAGATTATAATGCACATTTATGTGAACATGTCAATCTCTTTCTTTAAAAAAGAGATTAATTCAAATGTTTATTTAAATGAAAACAAATATGATAATAGGCCAACTTACACAGCCCAAAAATTGTTGATTGTTTTGGACTGAAATTTCTGCCGGCATTAAACATTTTTATTTCTGTTTTTCGTGAATGTGACCGGAATGTGAGAGAAATCAAAGATTTTTTATTTGCAGTGTAAATGCTGCTATTGTGGACCTTTATTTTCTCATCATTCCTCTATTAGAGCAAATGGGAATGGAAGCTTCTTCAGAAGAGACAAAAAACAACTTTTCTATCTCAGTAATTTCATTACTCTTTGAATAAAAAAAAAAAGTAAGACGGTGAAAGATAATGAGTGTCATGCCTCCTCACAATACCTGCTTTTCAACTTAATTTCAGCTTTTCAAGAACAATCACTCCCTCGGATGATTTTTTTCTATGGTCGCATCTGGATCCCAATAAAGCTTATCAAACTTCTCCTCCAATGTTTGCTTCCACACTTTGTCAATGTGAAGTGAAATTGTCAAGTTATTTAGCCTCATCAGAGCACTCACCAATCTCGTCCAATGAATAATCTCTCAAGAAAACTTTGGATCGAGGAAGGAAGAGAAAGGGATATAAAAAAAACAATACTGCACAACCAATCAGAATCTAATTAGCAGAAATAAAAGAAGACGCAACGATATCAAGAAGGAAAGAAGGGGAGAGAGACATTAATTCAAAAGCCACAGACTATTTCGTTAGCTGCAATCAGCGCGAGACCCTTTACCGACTTCCCCTCCTGCCTGGCCCAACTGACTGTTCTCGTTACGCGATAACGGCCTTCACGATCCGCGAGATGAAACGCTGCCATGGCCAGACCCATCAGGGCTAAATGACTTGAGTACATATGTATATTTTAGCCATTTACCAAGCGTCTTGGAGTGGCTTTTCATCAATAAATCGGTGTTAATGACTTGGGGTGGAGGGAAGGAGGAAGGAGAAGTCCATCGCTTTCATCTTCCATCTCTTTCTCACCATCTCAGGGCGAGTTCTGCCTGGAATACATTTCTATTAAGCTCAATCAAAGGCTTATTTACCAATCAGCAATTTCAGATAACTTCAGAAGGTTGCCAAATGGCATCATCTAAAAGAGCCCTTCCATTTAGTTTAGTCTTAAACGAGCATACATGTATATGAAAGAAAATGCAAAAGCTCTCTGTAATTCGAAAAGGTCTATGAGTACTGATAAAGGATTGAGAGGTCATATTATTGGAATCTTTTGAACTTTCATAAGAAAGCATTGTCTCTTTATAAATATAATCAATGGTGTGAATGGATGAAAATTGAAATTGATCTGTTATTTTTTCTTTAATCTTTCTCCCTAATTTGATTTATTATCATTTTCTTCTGCCATTTGAATGTTTTTTTCTCTCTTGATAATAGTGATTAATCTTCCCTTCCATTTGCTTATTGTCTCTATAAAATTTGTCTAATGTGTCATCAATCATAAAATGAAACTAGTAATTTACAATGGAATTTCCATCATTTTAGCTTATATATTCTAGTAATGTCACTAGTTTCTTTATTACTTTAATCTTTCCCACCCCCTCTCTTTCAATGGTCTAACTCTGTATTTGTAAGTTATCCCTTTCCATATTTTCTCTGATTTTGTAGTGCTTAAATCCCCATTTTCAAGACTATTTCAAGACTGGTTTCGACCTCTTCATGACCCTTTTAAAGAAAGTTAGGATGTCCATTAACCTACAAAAAGGCAGAAAAACAAAGTAAATGCATGTTCAGAGAGCAAAGTTCATGTACATTAAATGTTAGATGACATTAATTACCTTTTAAGAGTTTCCTTATTCTTCCAAACATCTAATGCCTGGTTCTTAATCTGTCCAAGATGCCCTCCTAGACAATTTCTTGCCATTTGATGGCAGGAATCAAGACATCAGAATGCCTTGCCAGAATTTCAAGCACTTGCATTAGATTGCTAATTTTCGTTAGGAAACCATTTTTCTAGAAAATAGATCACAGACAAATTATCAAAGTGCCCTCCCCTGACCTGACCCCAACCAGCACCCATTTTGGCTAGTTGGCTATAAGTGTGTACAAGAAAGTACTAATTAGGCGCGTCTTCATCATCTCGAGATTGCCAAATAGCCCGCTATTTGGGAAATAATCCCGAAGTAACAAATCGCGTCTTCACTATCTCGAGATTCGACCTCGAAACTCGACCTTGAGAAATTAGCTCGAGATATTTTGCTCAGCGTTAGCGTGTATTGCAAATCTTCGGTCTAGTGAAGACGCACGGGACAAATAGCTGGATATTTTGCCAATAAAAAGGATATTTTGCAAACTATCCCAAGATATCTTGGGATATTTTCCCGACCAACTATCCAGCTAATTTGCTACTTCGGTCTAATGAAGACGCAAATTAGCTGGATAGTTTGCGATCGGGATAGTTCAAATAGCTGGATATTTGGCAATCTCGAGATAGTGAAGACGGGCCTATTGTAACTGGTGCAAAAAATTCTCCCTGCTTCTCCCATTACCCCCAACCCATCTTTACATCATTCCTTTGTCTAAAAGAAGGAAGACATTACAAAAGAGATGCTTTTATAACTTCTACAATAAGTAGATAGCGCAACATATGCCTGTCCGTTTGCAGCCAAAAGGGTGTTATGTGAGTGTAATATGATATGAGGTACTAATGAAAGCCCTTCTGGCTCCAAACAGATGAGGTATAAATGACGTCCCATTCCCCCCCCCCCCCCCCCCCCTTGAACCTTACTCCACCCCCTCTTGCCCTAAAAAAAAAAAAATTTAAATATACTTTTAAAGTGACTTTGTAACATTGCCTCAGATTCTGAGACAAAATCCTGGATTTAGCTCATGCTGCAATTATAATTATAAACCTTTAGGTCAGACAAGAATCCCATGACTTTTACAAGCCGATTGCCTCTCTGATTATCAAGCTATTTATGATTGAAAATCAAAATGCCATTTTTTGTTTTCCTTTTTATAACACTATAGTCTAATGGGGAAAATGAGTATGGTAAAACCGGTCACTCAAAGATTTTACTTTTTTGAGGCACTTCGTGATCATTTTGAAGAGCAATTTTTAGGGCTTCAATGTTTCACCATACTACAGACACTGATAACACGTAGGGCCATGCATCTCAGATTTAATATTGTTAAAGCTAAAGACCAGTTATGGTCATGCAATTGCATAGTGAAAGAAACGTTGTGAAATCAGAAAGGTCGATCATCTAGCATAGATGTACTGCAAGGTTCTGGAATCATCAAAATTATAAGAAATTTGGCC